AAAAATTTTTTTTTCAACGTTTATTTGCTTTTTTGGGACAGGAGAGACAGAACATGAATGGGGGAGGGTCAGAGAGAGGGAGACAGAGAATGGAATGTGCCTCCAGGCTCTGTCATCAGCCAGAGCCTGACGCGGGCTCAACTCACGGACCGCAAAGATCGCGGGACCTGGCTGGAATGGATGCTAACTGACTGGTGCCACCCAGGCTTCACCCATAAAGTTTTGGGAAGTGGAATATCTGATTTATTGTAGAGAAAGACCTCAGAAATAGAGACTTAGCTTTGAGGTAAACACTTATTTGTTTCGTATAAGGACCTTTTGGAAAGAAGGCTGGTGTTTTTACAAACCTAAAAGGCGTTTGTCTTTTTTTTTGTTTTTTTTTTTTTTTGCATTGATACTTGATGTCAAGAGATAAACTTGATGCACTTTAAAAGTGAAACCACTTAATTAGAGCAAATCTAGGTTGTTAGCCACCAAAATGTCAAAGCTTAAGTGTTTTGTTTTTTGAGAGAGGCACGTGCATGGGGAGGGAGGAGCAGGAGAGAGGAGACTCTCAGGCAGGCTCTCCACACCTGTGGAGCCCACTTGGGCTCACCCCCTCCCGACTGTGAGATCACCTGAGCTGAAATCAAGAGTCGGATGTTTGATGACTGAGTTTAACAGGTACCTTGTGTTTTCATTTTTATGAGAATTTTGAAATTTTAAAAGGAACCTTAACATCTCCCCTGTTTTTTCATTTCCTAACCTATTTCTGTGTGTCTAGAATGATTTCCAGTAACAAAGTACATATATTGGACTAGTATTTTGTCAAGAATTTATCATTTCAGTTTGACTATTCAGGCAATATGTTTTTATCTTGCTGAGTATTCATAGCTGTGCATTTATTTGAGAGTTCAAAGTTTGGGTTATTTTTGTGTAATCGAAAATGAAGGCCAGAACATTTCAGCTTGACAAGAGATTTTCCTATTGTAAAACTTGGTAGAATAAAGTTAATTTGGTTGAGGATGCCTTATAAATAGGGTGGCCATTATACTTAATAGCCCCCCCAAACCCCTGAATGTTGAGAGGAATGGAGGTGCTAAATTCTAGAGATGAATCTGGAACAATACTAAGTTCATATTGGGATGTAGGGTCATTCTGTTACTTAAATATTTTGACAACCAGACTTAGTTTCATCTTTTGAATTAAAATTCAAGTTGCCCATTAGTGCTGCATCTACTGAAAAAAGAAACGACGAAAAATCTTCCACATGGAAATGTTCCCATGGTCAAGTAAAGAGACGATCTTTCTCCCAAAA